ACAGTATATTATACCAGAACAAATCTCTATGCCTGCTTGGCTGTCCTGGGGGTTATGAAAGATACTAAAATGTGCTTACACTGAAATTTTGAAAGTTGAAAGGCACTCCTTCCCACCTCCCTTCATCTTTCTTCTTGGCTCACCACTACTATGGGGGGCCAAACTGACCAATGGTCTGGTTATTACAAAGAAACACAGAAAATGTCCATATGCAAGTCTTTTAAAGGATTGTGATATTAGAATATTATATTTTTAATCTTCTACAGACGTGGTGATATTTGCCATCAGGATTTTCTAAGAAGGTGTAAACACTGTAGTAGTGTGCCCTTTCTGAACTTTACAACACAGTCGCATAGTTTCTAGCATTTCAAAGAAAACCTGTGCTGAAAGACATATGGGCTCTGTCATTCCTTAACTTCTTCTGAAAATGCTAATTGCAAGGCTGTCATTATTATTATTATTAATATTATTATTATACAGGATTTATATAGCGCCAACAGTTTGTTCAGCACTTTACAATATAACGGGAGACAATACAGCAACAATACAGTTCAATACAAGAGGGTTAGGAGGTCCCTGCTCCTTGGAGCTGTCATGTCCTGTGTATTCCATACTTTCTGAATCACAAAGAACAAGACTTCTGGCACAGTGGGGGGATTTACTAAATCAGCTGCACTCATAATCTGTTGAAGCTGTGCATTGTAGCTTCTAACTTCAGCTTGTTTAATGAAGGTAACAGTAAAGTGGCGAGAGAGCGACCAGATAGGATTATTGCACCACATCCCTTAAAATTGCAAATATTTAATAGAGAAGATGGGACTTTTAGGGTGCATGAACATGAATACCAAACATATTAAAAAGTTATATAATTTTTATTTTATATTTTTTTTTAAAACAAAAAAAGGAAAACATACAGATCCATAAAAACATGTTAAATTCTTGTTAGGTTATACCTGTATAACCTTCTAAAAACATTTAACAGGTAAAACTGCCTAAGTTAACCTCAACCTAATGATTTATGATTTCTTCCTCATATTTTCTATTAAATTTAATTAATTTCTTGTTTTTTTTATCTCTATCCTATTATGCCTAGATGGATATTTGATGCCCATTATATCCTCTACAACTGTTTTGGACATGTAGGCCAATTAAGATCTTTGATAGATCATTTCCTTTTAGCTCTGTGAGCTTTCACATCCAGGGTGAGTCATTGAGTCCCATATATATATATTTGATTAAATACTTTGTATTTGATATATTAAAGTTGTTTGGTATAATTCTTTTTGATATACCTTTAGACTGCCTCGGTGGTTGAAATCTCTTAAAAAATCTCCCCTGAAGAAGCCTGTGAGGGCAAAACATTTAGGGAGTAGCTACAATTATATAATCAAGTTTGAATCTCAGTTCCACTCTTAGTACTGAAATTGTTTTTATGTTTCTGTATTTTTCTCCCTTTTTTTTGTTTTTACAAAAATACAAAATAAAAATTTATATGACTTTTTAATATGTTTGGTATGCATGTTCATGCACCCTGAAAGTCCCATCTTCTCTATTGAATATTGTTTAATTAAGCTTTGACAATAAAACATGGAAGCTGATTTGTATCCACCAGATGCACCAGATTTTGCACCCTGCAGTTTTAGTAAATGACCCCCAGTGTTTATAAACAGTTTGCAGATGCAGGATAGAGAGATACAAGGTGGCAGTGTTATTTTTACCTACAAATAAAGGAGATGAGTTTTGATCTACATGTGATGTCAGTTATCCCCTAATTAACCCTTATTTTGCCCTAATCAGCCCTTTATAACTCCTTCTTCCCTTCTCTCCTTAGCTATTATTTCCCTGATATTTTTTTTTGCTATATTTAATTTGTAAATAACTTTGCAATGCTTTGTATCAGAATAATAATTCTATAGTTAAACGTTATAACATAAACCTTGTATAAATTTTTTTATAATTTTAGAATAAAATGTATATTTCTTTCTAAAATAACACTTTTTTTTAAATAACACTAATCAAAGTATTAAAAAATTGCATATTTTTAGTTTTGTAACCATAGGGAGCATACGAGGGTGAGAGGTGAAGTGGTTCAGTTGATGTGTGGCAACTAAAGCTTAATAAATTGAATACTTCATAAAAAGAGATTGGATTTTCCTAGAAGAAAGTTGCTAAAAAAATTTAATTGATTGAAATTAGATATTTTTGTCTAATTATGTGTGCAGAGAATGATTCATGCTTTGAACATGAAGACATTTTTTTTTCTTAAATTTAATCAGCAGTAGCTGTACAATATCTAGGTGCTTTTTGTTCAATGTGTCAGCAGTGTTACAATCAGCAAAGTGCTACCAGGCTGTAGTAGATCAGATTTGGAACTGCAGGATAGACAAAGCAGTGTCTAGCAAGAGAGGAATGGAAGTGTAGAGAAAAACCCTTGAGAATCACCGCAGTATGCATAATTGTTTATTTTTTTTCTGTACTGGAAGCCAGAGAAACAAGAAGGGAAGCAAGTAAAGAAAAAGAGAAATACAAGTGAGTTACAACCTATTTAAATATACAGTGCTACAAGCCCAGGTTTAAAAAAATGTGGCAGACAGAAAGGCAAATAGGGTATTTACTTTGTAAGGGAATCCCTTTATTAGAGAGTCTTTGCAAAGTGATATTTCACCATATTCACCATGTTCTAGGGAAAATTCCCTTGCAAAGTGAACAGCCTATTTGCCTTTAGTAAATCAACCCCAAGCTGTTATTAAACCCATAAGATATTAAATATAAAGTTACTTAGCCATACACTCTTTAATTTTAATTCAACCAGTGATTCCTCCACAGAAAGTAAATGGACGGCGGAAACTGCCCCACAGCTGTCACTATACAGTACATTGATGAGTGGCTGCAGCCACTTACTGTATTGAGAAACATTTTCTAAATGGGTGTGGGTATTTGTCAATAACTATATTGAGTAGAGCCAGTGCGGGGCATAGTGTCCCAGTGCAGGTGGAAAAGAGCTGGAATGTTTGTCTCCAAAGGGTATGGATTAGGTGGCCCACCTGGCCACAGTTGCACCAGCATAGAGGGGAATAGATGGGCCTTTAGTAAATCAACTCCAAGCTGTTATTAAACCCATAAGATATTAAATATAAAGTGACTTAGCCATACACTGTTAGTTTCTTTTAATTCAACCAGTGATTCCTCCACAGAAATGAGGTGTATGGTGGAAATCGCCCTGCCATCACCCACAGCTGTCGCTATACAGTACATTGATGAGTGGCTGCAGCCACTGATTGAGAAACATTTTATAAATGGGTGTGGGTATTTGTCAATGCCTATATTGAGTAGAGCCAGTGCAGGTGGAAAGGAGCTGGAATGTTTGTCTCCAAAAGTTGGTGAGATTAGGGCATCCCCAAAGGGTATGGATTAGGTGGCCCACCTGGCAACAGTTGCGCCAGCATACAGGGGAATATGTCGGGGGGGGGGGGAAATTAGCTAGTCGACAAGGGGTGTAGTACCATCTATTGGTGATTTTTCAATGCCGATTCCCAGTGGTTAAAAGAATGTGATGTGGATATTGAACAAAAGGTGGCTTGCCATTGTTTGGGAGTGAATGTGGAGTGAAGATCTTTCTCCATTTAAGCATCATGTTGGAGTTTCAAAAGATGGTTTTGTCTTCTAAGATATTATAAAAAAGAGAAATTCCTTTCACCTTTTGTTTGTCAGAAGTGCTTTGTGATGAGTAGTGAGTGCAGGGATGGGATGTTTGGACAGGATGTGTATTATATGAGCACATGTGAATAGTGCTGTTCTAGGTGGGTTGTATTCCCCCTCTAGTTCATCTATGTTTTTGGTGGTGCCTAGGGTAAAAAGATCTGAGCCTTTATAGATGCCAAATTTTAGTAGGTGTTAAGCAGCATTCAGCATAAATATCATAGAGTCACAAATATCTATAGGGAATAACACAGTGTTGGATATGTAGTACTGTGCCTGTATTATTGTTGAGGTGAGAAACATTTTCTAACATGTCCCTTTTGATAGAAATTGATCAGAGGATCGGTTTATGGCATTCTGGCAAGTAGGAATGGCCACACACTGATCAAAATTCAGATGGTCACTGATGAACTGTTTCAAACCGTATATGGCCAACTTAACACTTTATATTTATTGTCTTATGGGATTAATAACATTTTAGGGTAATTTTACTAAAGGCAAATAGACTGTTCACTTTGCAAGGGAATTTTCTGTTTTTGTTTCGTCATTATGGGGTACTGAGTGTAGATTAATGTGATAAAAAAAAATTTAAACAACTGTAGCATCATGTTGCAACATAAAAAAATTGAAAAAAGTGAAGGGGGTCTACTTCATGAATGCACTGTGCATATATATTTATACAAAGGGCGTTCAAGTCAAACCGAGATTTTTAATTTTACAGTCATAAAAAGGGATGCTAGCGTGGCGGTACTACACAAAGTTGTAAGTTGCAAGTGTGTCCTACTACTGATAGGCGCACATGTCACGGGCCACTTCAGAGACCATTAATCAAGAGGCAGACAACATTGTTAGTGCATGCATGGAACAACGTGTGGTGATGAAGTTTCTTATAAACGAAGTCATAAAACCTGCCGATATCTACAGAAGACTTTAACCACCTTCCGCCCGCCCTATAGTACAATGACGGGCGCAAGGTGGTTCTCTCATTCTGATAGGACGTCATATGACGTCCTACCATTCTCACTGCGCATGCCGGTCTGCTGTGTCCCTCGGACACAGCGGATCACGGAAAGAGCCAAAGATGTCGGTTTGGTCATGTGATCAGCTGTGTCCAATCACAGCTGATCACATGTAAACACGGAAATGTCGGTTATCGGCATTTCTTTCCTCTCGAGCTGTCACTCTGACAGCTCGAGAGGAGAGGAGAGCCGGTAATCGGCTTTCCGTGGAGGGGACATGTACACTGATCATCAGGGCACTGATGATCAGTGTGCCCTGATGATCAGTGTGGCCCCAGAAGTGCCACCTGTCAGTGCCCATCAGTGCCACGTGCCAGTGCCCATCAGTGCCATGTGCCAGTGCCCATCAGTGCCACATATCAGTGCCTACCAGTGCACATCAATGCCACATATCAGTGCCCATCTGAGCTGCCTTTCAATGTCACCCATCAGTGCCAGTCAGTGCCACCTATCAATGCCAATCAGTGCCACCTATCAGTGCCAGTAAGTGTCGCCTATCTGTGCCAGTCAGTGTCACCTATCAGTGCCAGTCAGTGCTGCCTAACAATGCCGCCTATCAGTGCCATATATCAGTGTCATGTACCAGTGCTGCCTTTCAGTGGCCATCAGTGATGCCTGTCATTTCCCATCAGTGCAACCTACCAGTGCCTCCTCATAAGTGCCCATCCCACCCATCAGTGTCCATCAGTGCAGCCTATCAGTGCCCATCACTGCAGCCTCATTAGCGCACATGAGTGAAGAAGAAAAATTACTTATTTACAAAATTGTATAACAACTAAGAAAAAACTTTTTTTTTCAAAATTTTCAGTGGTTTTTGGTTTGTTTAAGAAAAAATAAAAATCCCAGAGGTGATTAAATACCACCAAAAGAACGCTCTGTCTCAAAAAAATGATAAAAATTTCATATGGGTACAATGTTGCATGACCGCGCAATTGTCATTCAAATTGTGACAGCGCTGAAAGCTGGAAATTGGCCTGGAAAGTGCCCTGTAGGCTAGTGGTTAAGCACAGAATTATTATTATTATACATTATTTATATAGCGCTAAAAGGTTTGCTCAGCACTGTACATTATAGTGGGGGACAGTACATGAGACAATACAGTAACAAAACAGAACACGAGGGATTCAAGGGCCCTGCTCTTTCGAGCTTACAATCTAGGAGTACGATGATGAGATGCACAACCGCAGTAAGACATCTGAATGGTGTAAACGTTTCAAAGATGGCTGTACGTCCATAAGTGACAATTTTGAACGTGGTGGTTCCCAGCCCACAGCAGTCATTCCTGTGAACATTCAGCATGTGGAACGCCTGATCCTGGATAATCGATGCATAACCTGTTGTGAAATTGCACAAGAGACAAATATTCTGTGGGCACAGTGAACACAATCATGATGAAGTGAAGCAGGCTGTCCTAAGATGGTTCAACTGACAGATCTTTTAATGCTGAAGCTTTCCAGACATTAGTTAAATGCTGGGATAAGTGTATAAATGTAGTAGGGGAATATGCTGCAAAATAAATGCAGTTTGCACTCCTTGAATTTTGTCTTTTTATTATTTTAAATTTTATAATTTATATAAACTCACAAAACTCAAAATTCCTGGCTTGACTTGAACACCCCGCCTATCTATCTATCTATCTATCTATCTATCTATCTATCTATCTATATCTACAGTATATATGTGAGCTACACTTACATATTGTGCTTGCTGCTGCATTATGTCCTCCTAGAGTCATCTGTTCTGCAGATCAACTGAAAAAGACTTTTTATGCCCTGGAGGCATTTTGCCAAGAGGAATGGGCAGCTATACCACCTGCTAGAATTAACTATTTCAAAAGACTGCACGCTGTCATTGATGCTAAAGGGGGCTATACACAGTATTAAGAACTAAGGGGATGCAGACTTATGAACAGGGGTCATTTCATTTGTTTACTTTTGCCATGTTTTGTTTTATGATTGAGCCATTCTGTTATGACCTACAGTTGAATATGAATCCCATAAAAATGTGTTTTGCCTACTCATTAATGTTTTCTTTAACTTCTTGCCCTCCAGAGGATTTACCCCCCTTCCTGACCAGGCCATTTTTTGCCATACAGTGCTTCGTTAGGCTCTTTGTTACTTTAACTGACAATTGCGCGGTCATGCAATGCTGTACATAAATGACATTTATGTCATTTTTTTCCAACAAATAGAGCATTCTTTTGGTGGTATTTGATCGGTTGTGAGGTTTTTTTTGTGCTATAAACAAAAAAAGACCAACAATTTTTACTTTTTGCTATTAAACATGTCCAGAAAAAAATGTAAAAAAATCTAATTTCGTCATAAAGTTAGGCCAAAATGTATTCTGCTATGTCTTTCCTAGAAAAAATTTCCAATATGTGGAAATTATTTGGTTTACATGAAAGTTTTAGCGTTTACAAATGGCAGCTTATATACTGGAATTTTTTTTTTATCTACTAGTAATGGCAGTGATCAGCGACTTATAGCAGGACTGCATTCTGACACTGGGGTGAACTGATTAACTGACACTTACATCCCCAATGACACTAATACAGTGATCAGTGCTAATAAAAAGCACTGACACTGTACTAATGACACTGGGCAGGAAGGAGTTAACGTCTGGGGTGATCAAAGGGTTAACTGTGTGCCTTTTTACTGTGTGCTGTGTTTTACTAGGGAGGCATGCTGTGCAGAGAGATACAAAACAGCATGTCCATGCTGACAAAAGAGAGACCTCTGTTTACACATAGGTCTCTCCCCTGTCAGCTTTATGATCGCCAAGTGTCAGCTGGGAATCACCAGCCGGGACCCAGTGATTGACATTCCTAGCCGCCAATAGCAGCATGGGGAGGGCAGTGAGCATGTGCCCCCTACCTGGAATACGTGATTTTGCGCAGCCCTGCCACCTTGTAGCAGTACTTCTGCTGTAGGGGAAAGTGGTTAAAAATGGTATTTACTGTATATTACCAATTCTCCAAGGGTATGCAAAGTTTGAGCCCAACTGTATATAAAAAGTCACTACTGTATAGCCAGCATAAGACTATTTCTGAAATGAAAATGTTATTTTTTAAAAAACGACTCTGTTGTCAATATCAACTTGAAAATCTGCTTATTACCTGAAGGTTGTAAATACTGACTTCTCTTGCTGCCCGCACTGTTCTGTTGCTGATAAATCCTCCACCAAAGTTTGCTAGCAAACAGACACTTCCAGGATGTCCCCCACAGTTCTCATAGGTTCCTCTCACCGACCTCGAGGTCACAAGTGTGCTCTGCAGTACATGGAGGCCGGCAGGAAGAACAAGAGAGTGCTGATGGGGACACAGGCTGCTGGAAGCATCTATTTCCCAGTAAGGTTTGGATGATGATTCCTCAGCAGTGGAAAAGAATTTTCCTACTTGGATAGCAGGAGTGGTTAGTTTTTTTTTACAAAATGTATTTTAAAGCAATAGGTTTACTTTCAATTTGATATTGGAAACATGGTTGCTTTTAGTAAATTGTTAGCATGCTACTATAACATTTGGAGGCAGCAGGTACTATAAAGCAGCCTTTCTCCATTAGAATGCCTTGAGATTTCTTCAGGGGTGCCTTGGCAAAATGACTAAAAATTGCTCAAAACTTGTATACAAGCCAATGGGTGGAACAAACCTGCCTTTTATTTACACAAAGCCACAGGTTTTCATTGTGCACCATTATGACCTTCTAGCCACCACCGTCCTGAAAACCAATGACATCATCAGTTGATCAGGAGGATGTCAGCTGCCTGCACAGCATCCTAGTTTGACCCTCCCCTGCCCCTCTCCATCAGTGCTGGGGTCACATTAGCTCAGTGATGAAGAAAAACTGAGGGAGAAGAGAAACACTGGAATACTAGTCAGTACCAGCGTGCAAAAGTGTATATGCTTTGGAAGAATAAATCACCTCTAATGTTGGGTGTCCTACATGTGTGGATGTTGCTGCATTATATAAAACTATTAGAATAGTTTTTCACATTTTAGAATGGGGTGCCCTTTTAAAATTACAGACAGTCTAGAGGCACCCTGTTTTAGAATGGGGTGCCTTGGGACTGTCCATAATTTTAAAGGGTGCCTTGGGACTGTCCATAATTTTAAAGGGTGTCTGACTGAACAAAGGTTGAGAAACACTGAATATAGGATCATTATCAGAAGAATACTGCAATGTGATAACTGTATGCATTAAATATATGCAACAATACTAATCGGTATATTACATTATATTGTATTATAGACGTTCAAGCAGCCCTAACAGTGCTAATTGGGAGGGTGAGCCTACTATAATTACACAGTCAGTGCAGTTGTAATACTAAGAAAACAAAACTGCTTGAAAAAGCAGCCAGCGAGTCAGCCAATTACACTAATAGGAAATAAAATTGTAGTGGTTGTTCTGCACAATACTAGTGTGATGAATACCCCTGTTGCCATTGTTCTAAGGGGACATTTGAATTCTTAGGATGTTCTTGAAACTATGATTGAAAGTTTAGATAGAAATGAGGAACTACACCGATCAACCATAACTTTATGGCCACCCAGCTAATATTGAATAGGTCCTCCTTTTGCCGTCAAAACAGCCCTGACCCATTGATGCGTAGATGCCACTAGATCCTTGAAGATATGCTGTGCTTTCTGCCACCAAGCTGTCAGTAGCAGATCCTTTAAGTTCTGTAAGTTGCGAGGTGGGGCCTCCATAGATCAGACTTGTTTTTCCAGCACATTCCACAGATGCTCGATTGTATTGAGATCTGGAGAATTTGTAGACCAAGTCAACACCTCAAGCTCATTGTTTGTGTTCCTAAAATTATTCATTAAGACATTTTTTGAAATATTACAGGGCACATTATTCAACTGAAAGATGCCACTAACATCAGGGAATATATCATATCCATGAAGATGTGTACTTGGTCAGCAACAATGTTTAGGTAGGTGGTATGTGTCAAGCAACATTCACGTTAATGTAAAGTGAAGCAAAAAGAGAGCGCACCAACCTTGCGCATTACCTCAGTAAACTGTGATGTTATTGAATAAAAAATATACTCACAAACAAGGAAAAGTGAGGCTGACACGTTTGGGGGACCCTTCTTCGTCGGAGCTCTGATGAAGAAGGGTCCCCCTTCGAAACGCGTTAGCCTCACTTTGAGAGTCTACCCTCATGATGTGACTTGCACTGGTTCTACACAGTTCCAAGTTCCTTTTGAGGATCTGTAATGCTTGTTATACTTCCTTGTTTGTGAGTATATTTTTTTATTCAATAAAATCTTACTGAGGTAATGCACAGGGTTGGTGAGCTCTCTTTTTGCTTCACTTTACAGTACCGGTCGGGCTTCCCCAGCCTTGCTCTAGAGC